CCCTTGGGAAACTCATCAGCTCCTTTGGCTTCCGATATCATTTCTATGCGGATGACACGCAAATCTACCTGTCCTCTCCTGATCTCTCTCCACCCATCTTGACTCGTGTCTCTGACTGCCTCTCTTCGATCTCCAGCTGGATGGCTGCTCACTTCCTTAAACTCAACCTGTCCAAAACAGACCTTCTGGTCTTTCCTCCCTCAAGTGTTGCTACTCCCATGTCTGTCTCCCTCCAAGTCAATGGTGCTACCATCACCTCTACCTCACAGGCTCGCTGCCTGGGTGTTCATTTTGACTCCAACCTCTCCTTCACCCCTCATATCCAATCAATCACTAAATCCTGTCGCTTCCATCTCAAAAACATAGCACGCCAAATACCATAACCCCAGATGCGGCTACGGTGCTGCTCCATGCTCTTATTCTCTCTCGCCTTGACTTCTGCAATACCCCTCTCAGTGGTCTAACATGTTCCCAGATTGCACCGCTGCAATCTATAATGAATGCAGCGGCGAGGCTCATTTTCTTGTCTGCTCGCACCTTCTACGCCTCCCCGCTCTGTCAGTCCCTGCACTGGCTTCCAGTTAAATATAGGGCTCAATTTAAAATTCTGGTGCTTGCTTACAAGTCCCTACATAATGCTGCTCCAACCTACCTATCCTCCCTAATACACAAGTATGTCCTGTCGAGGCCCCTACGCTCTGCCAAAGAGCTACGTCTATCCTCTGTCCGTACTCCCACCTCTAATGCTCGCCTCCAAGATTTCTCCAGGGTTGCACCTCTTCTGTGGAATGCCCTTCCCTTCTCCGTAAGACTTTCACCCAGTCTCCACTCACTTCTTCAAGAAAGCATATCAGTTAAACTGTAAGCAGGTTTTTTATCCCCCACCCCCATGGCTCCTCTCCTGCAACTGTAAAAAATTACCTACTAAGCCCTCAATGAATACTTTTCTAACAACCTACTTCGTACCCCTACTTTTACCCTTTGTGTCACTATACCCCACTCCCTCTAGAATGTAAGCTCATTGAGCAGGGTCCTCCACCTCTCTGTTCCTGTACGTCTAATTGTCTGGTTAAAATTGCATGTCTGTTAGTCCACCCAATGTACAGAACTATGGAATGTGATGGCGCTATATAAATAATAAAATAATAATAATAATAATACTAATATAACCAGGGCAGTGAGAGGACTACTGCCAATTAAACCACTTCACCTCAAACAAACTGGTCTTTGCATAAAATGAATAAAAAGAAAACATTTAATACATTTCCCCCAACCAATAAACAAGGGGCAAATATAGAGAAAGAAAAAGAACATAAGCAGCAATCTAAAACCCTGAAAGAAAACCATGATGATTTTTTAGATTCAGACCCAAACTTCAAGAAAAAGAAATAACCCAGTTTTTCTCCCCAGAAACCCATGATAGATCTTACAAACCGATTTCCCCCACTCTGAGATTGGAGTGCCCCAGGGAAGAGGAGGAGAATGAGTGGGAAGAGCTTTGAGTAAAGGCATCTTCATTATGACAGGAGCTAGATTAACCCTTGAACAAATCTGTGTCTTGGAAAAAGGGTTAAAATTTGCCCAAAATGTTTCGGTAAATCCCTCTCATTTATTTATTGACGTTAATAAATTTATCTGAAAACTATCATTAAAAAGAATTTTTGAAAAGAAAGAAAAAGAGGGCTATCTGGAACCACAACTAAATATGACAACAAATAAACATTTGAGGGTACCTTTTAAAGCTAAATCCTCTTTTTACCCCAATGAGAAAGTCAGTCAACTTGAAGCCTTTTCAAAAATGGTAATTAGAGATATGGAAAGAAAGAATCTTAAGATGACTAATTTTAATCTTACACAGAAAGAGTATGACATTTTAAAGAAACTGAAAAACAGAAAAGACATTACAATCAAAAGTGCAGATAAGGAAGGTGGCACTGTAAACATGACCACTGAGTATTATCTAGGAGAGGCCTACAGACTCCTTGATGATGTTTGTACTTATAATAAACTTAAAGAGAACCCTAATCTTATATTTAATAAATTGAAGGAATTCCTTTATGAAATATTTGACTAATGACATCTTAGACAGAAAAAAAATGTTTATTTTCTGTTTTTAAACTCCCCTAGGATTCCTACTTTTTATTTTTTACCTAAGGTACACAAATCTGTTACACAATCATTGGGTAGACCCATTATCAGCGGGGTTGACTCTTTAACGTCAAGGTTGTCTGAGTATATAGACTCCTCTCTCTAACAATATGCACAGAAAGCAAGATCGTATCTTAAAGACACTAAAAGTCTTATTCAAGAGTTAGCATAAAATGGAATGAGGGATATATCTGGGCATCATTTGATGTCACCTCCCTTTACATGATTATTGAACATGATAAAGGTATGATGGCAGTTAACTCGTTTTAGAGCAAGATAGCAATATCTCTCCCCTTTTTATACAATTTTTATTGGAAGGTATTAGGTTCATTTTAACTCATATTATTTTCATTTTTAATAACAATTTTTTTTCTCCAAGTTATGCGAACGTCTTTATGGACAATTGGGAACCATGCAATATGTGGTCAAATTATCCTTTTGGTGCAGACTCGATGCTCTGGCATAGGTATATAGATGATATTTTAATTATTTGAAAAGGCACTGTGGATGACCTACATAGATTTATCATTTTTATGAATAATAATGATCAGTCTTTTTTTATTTATTTCTGCACAGATAGAAAAGGAAAGCATTATTTTTTTAGGAAATGGAAGGGAAGGGTCAGCGCTAAGATATCGAATTAGGGAGAGTGGTATATATGGGGGTGGCAGCTAACCCCAAAAGTAGGGGGATCCCTTTTATCCTACTAATGGAAAGAAACAGAAAACAGGGGTAGCAGCCACAAATACAGTCAATATACAGAGAAAATAAATGTACAATATTAATAAAAATGGGCAAAATATGGTACAAATACTTATGTATATGCAAATAGATATGTCTAATAAAGTCCCAATAGAAGCAAATAAGTCCAATAATAAACAGTCCACATTGTAGTGTCAAAACACACTTTCCAGAAGTACTTTTTCACAAAAATGCCTACGGAATTCCTCAATGTAAGTACCGGGATACGTTCATCATTGGACTCTGTATGAAACAACAGAAAGGCAATAATAGAGTAGTATGTACATACAGGGGATAACTAAAAGGAATAAGATATGGTCCTACTCACATTTTATGGAGATGTAACTAGCTCCAGTGTGAATGGCATACAATGGTACAATCCCCACTTATATGTGAGAGTGGTGTCTTTGAAGTATGTAGATCATAAAATATAAAAAGAAACAACAATAGTGTTCTCTGAATAAAATACCAGGAGTTGTAATAAATGAAGAATGTACTCACATTTCTCAGAGCAGGCAAACTGCTCTTTGGATAGGGCGTGGGTGGAATAATCCCCACCAGGGATGTCTTGAGAGCAATTCTCACTGAAGATAAAAATCAGTTGCCAGGCAGTATGAAGTAAAAACAATAAAATAGTAATATTAGGGATCACCCGGAAATTTGCGCTGCCTTGTGGGAAGTGTTATTTTGAAATTGTGGCCATGTGGATGCAGGGAAAGTGTGATGTAAGCATACTCTTATGCTTATGTTGCTATAGCAACAGCCAATGCAGTGGTGGCGGGCAAAGGGGGAGGTGAAGGGGAGTGGATATTACGAAAGTCGGCACAAGCTGAAAGGATAATGCGAACCGCACTGCGGTTATGTTGGTAGAGTATGGGATGAGGCAGGGCTAATGGGGAGGTGAAACGGCAAGGTTTAGAGGGCTGTCATGGATCACACAACAATGCGATGTGATAGATATAAAGGGGGCGTGATTAAGAGGTGGGGAGAAAATGAGGAACTAAAGGCTAGGAATTGTATTTGTGCAGGATGGTGTGTAGATAAAACAGTGGAAAAGGATAATATCAATAACATACATGGTATACAATGTCAAATATACAATGTTATAAATAAAATAAAAAAAATACATAAAATAATGACCACTATGGTATAAAATTACATTTTGTAAGATCCAAAATTAGATTATAGATAATATGACTTGTTAATAATATCTAAAAATAGATATCTTAAATTAATTTTTAAAATAAAAACTATTTGTATTTTTTAAGAGACAATCTATTACACAAAAGTGATCCTAAATAAAAAAAGCTTTTTGTTATAGGATAAAAGGAGCATATGTTTATAAAAAGTTCAAAGTCTAGATTTAACCTGTTGGGAATAAGGGTTTTGAGAAGGAAGGCCTATTACATTTCTTTTTGGCCTATAGTCTTTTTAAGGTCACCTCCTCTCCACAGGATCTTGCATTTTTGGATGCCTACACATTTTAAATGTTTAGGGCTTTTGTCATGAATTAAAAAATATTTTGAAACGGTGCGGTTGAGGTACCCTTTGGTGATGTTTTGATAATTTTCTGCCAACCTAATTTGTTACATTTCCTGTTATCATACCAACATACCGGAGGGTGCAAGAACACTCCAGTAGGTATATTACATTTTTGGTATAGCAGCCAGGGGCGTATTAGCCGCAAGGCAACCAAGGCATTTGCCTTGGGCGGCATTTTTCAGGGGGCGGCAAAAAACGCCGCCCCCCAAATGCCCAGGGCAAATGCCTAGTTAGCGCTGGCAGGCGGGCGGCTGGCGAGGGAGCACTTCCTATGAGCTGACTGCTCAGCTCCCTCGCGCGCCGCAGAGTGAGGCTGGGAGCCGGAAGATGACGTCAACTTCTGGCTCCCAGCCTCACTCTGCATCCGGCGCGCGAGGGAGCTGAGAAGATAGCTCATAGGAAGTGCTCCCTCGCCACACCCCCGACCTGCAGGCAATAGACCACCGGACCACCAGGGAGAGAGACAGCACTCCCAAAGGTAAGGAGGTTGGGGGGGGATTTAAATTTAAAAAAAGTTAATGTGTGTGTGTGTCTGACTGTGTGTGTGTTTGTGAGTGTGTGTGTGTGTTTGTGTCTGACTGTGTTTGTGAGTGTGTGTGTGTGTGTTTGTGTCTGACTGTGTGTCTGACTGTGTGTGTGTGACTGTGTGTGTGTTTGTGTCTGACTGTGTGTGTGTGTGTGTTTGTGTCTGACTGTGTGTGTGTGTGTTTGTGTCTGACTGTGTGTGTCTCTGACTGTGTGTGTGTGTGTGTTTGTGTCTGACTGTGTGTGTTTGTGTCTGACTGTGTTTGTGAGTGTATGTGTGTGTGTTTGTGTCTGACTGTGTGTCTGACTGTGTGTGTGTGTGTCTGACTGTGTGTGTTTGTTTCTGACTGTGTGTGTGTTTGTGTCTGACTGTGTGTGTCTCTGACTGTGTGTGTGTGTGTGTTTGACTGTGTGTGTGTGTGTATTTAGAAGGTGGGGCGGGGGGAAGGGTTGGGTGGGGGTGGCGCGGGGGGAGGGGGGCGCCTGAGTTTTGTCCTGCCTAGGGCAGCACAAAACCAGGATACACCACTGATAGCAGCTGATAAAATCTTTTATGGGATATGTTTGTTTTGTGATATTAGATGTAAAATGTGTAGTTTTCAGCTTAGTATTGTCATCACTGGTTTTGCAGACTATTCATCTGTTGCATTTGTAAAAGCCTTTTGATTGGAATAAAAATGTTATAGGTTTTTGGGAGGTTGCGTTAGTATAATTTGAAGTTAAAATTGATCTAAAACTAGGGGCACCTCTAAAAACTATGTTGGGTTTTCCTGGGATAAAATCTTTCAAAGTGGCATCTTGTTTTAAAATGTGCCAGTGTTTTTGAATTTTTTTTTACTTTGTGGCTGTTATTATTATAATAAAAAAATATTGGCATAAATGGAGAGCCCATTCTTATTTTTATAATCAAGGAGGTCTTTTCTATTTTTGTTTGACTGCCATAAGGGATTTATTAAGATTTTCTGGGGAGTAATTCTTATTAATAAATTTTCTTTTGAGAGTATCAGATTGTTCCTCAAAATCCTCTTTTCTTGAGTAGTTTCTACAAAGACGTAGAAATTGGCCTTTAGGTATTCCTGCTAACCAAGGTTGGAAATGGCAATTTGATTTGTCAATAATGGTGTTTGTCCAAACTTTACAAAAAATTTTTAGTGTTAACTAGGTCATCTTGGATAAAAATATGTAAATCTAAAAAGTTAATACAACTGCTACTGAATTCTGAGGTTAAAATAATGCTATTATTGTTTTCATTAAGATGTTTTAATTAAGGATGTCAGGGAATCTTGTGTGCCCTTCCAGATGAAGTCATTTGGGGTGCCAAGCATGGTCACTCCAAATGACTTCAGATTCCTAGTCAGCCATAAAGAGGTTAGCATAACTTGGCGAAAACCTGGTCCCCATGGCCGTACCCTGTTTTTGAATATAAAAAGAATCTAAATTTTTGTGTATTTTTGGTAGAAAGTAGATGACAGGAATATTTGGGTAAGGTACATTAATGTAATTGAATAATTTTTTTGTTAAAATATGGTATTTGAGGCCTTCTTTTTAAAATATATATAAGGTATTTTTGATTGTGGCAATGGGATCATGGGGTAATTTTTCATAGACATTGTGGTCACTGAGTTGTTTGGTAGCTAGTTCTAAATACATAATTTTTGAGAGTATAAGTAGACCCTGTCCTTTGCAGGCGGCATTTATGACAATTCTAACATCTTTTTGAAGTTCTTTAAGGGCTAGTTGTTCATTACGGGTTAAGTTATGATGTTGGTGTTTTTGTGTTTTGATGTTCTCGAGATCTTTGTGGACCAACTATTCAAAGACCTTGAGTGGACCGGGTTTGAAGCTGGCTGGGTAAAAGTTAGAGCTTTTTTGAGATGAGTAGTAACTATTTTAGGATTTTCTGTGGGTTCTGTGATGGGATGGTTAGGTACAAATAGAATAGGGGATAATCTGCTAAATGCAAATAAAAAAACATAGCGTTTAACTGTGTGGGGACTAGTAATAGTATGCAATCACAATTGGTCATTCACAAATTATTTGATGTGAAAAAGCCTTGAGTGATATCTTTTTCTTCAGTATCCACTGTGTTGTCCCTCCTCACATTTCATCAGCGAATAGGTATATATAACTCAAAAGAGAAAAATATACAAAATGTAGTGCACTTCCAGAGTATATTAAAAAGTAATTTAATGACTTACATTGAGATATAAGACAAACAGCATGTCACCATAAGGACGTCCTACGCGTTTCGTCCTTCAATTGGACTTCCTCAGGGACTTGGTGAAGTAAAATACAATAATAGTAATAGCAGCAATTAAAATTATCCCTCCCACAGTCCTTTTATACATCCCCCATTGATTATTCAAAGATTTTCGTCCGGTGTTCAATTTCCATTTCGGCGGCAAAAAGCCGGATGACGTGCGCCGTATGCGTTCCACCTTGCGTTCGACGAACCCGGAAGTGGATCGCAATCGTTTATCTTCCTCTCTTCCTCTAATACATTTGCTCCAAACGTGTATGGGCAGATGGGCAAAACGAAAAGGGGGGGGGGAATGCTATTAGGATAATTCTCTGGATGGCACTACATTAGTAAAATACAATAAAATAATTACACTGGTTTTAATTGTTACAATCTATGGTTACAAATGCATATATATACATCCTCCAATTCTCTGTTTTTGCCAATAAAAGATTATCTACACTTATAGAAAATCTTAAATTGCAAATTCTATATAAAGTGCATTTTTGTAGTAGGTATATACACACATATCTACATCCTCACAATTCATAGGACATATATATAAAGAAATTACATAAAGTGCATAAATAGTTATATAGTTTAACATCATATGTAGTTATAATACAATGATCACTCTGTGATAACCAAATGGTGAAACCCATTACATTGCACGTTTGCCTCTATTTCCTTGAAAGTATATATATAGAGAATTTTTTTCTCTTTCTTTCTTTTTATCTTTTTAAAAAATAGAATTAAAGTATATATGCAAAAATATTAAATAATGAAAATCAAAATCAAATAAAAATAAAAATATATAAGAAAATAAAATTAGAATGAAAATCAAAATAAATATAAATAAATGTGAATATGAAAAATGAAATACAATAATAATAAAATATAAAATGAAATAAAATAAAAATAAATAAAGTATGAAAAAATAAATATAAAAATCAAAAAATAAGAATAAAAATAAAAATGAAAATAACAAATAAAAATGAAAATAAAAATGAATGAAAATAAATTTAAAAGTAAAAATAAATATAAAAATAAAAATAAGATAAAATAAAAATAAATATAAAAATAAATAAAAATAAAAAATCCTTAATTTCCGAATGAGGGAAAAGTGCAATGTTCCCCAAACACTCCACAAACGAAAAACAGAATTGAAATTACTTGTTTGTTTAATCTTCAAAAAAGCTCCACAAATCTATATCCAAATTTAAACCGAAGGGTTGGAGTGTCTTTAACTTATTTATCCAGAAGGTTTCTCTTTGAGAGCGCCTCTTGGCTAAATCCCCTCCTCTCCAATGTGGGTCCACATGCTCAATGCCCAGGAAAGTAAAACTTCGCCAATCAAATTTATTACAAGTATTGCAATATAGTGGTACTATATGTTTGATTTAATTTTTTCTAATATTATTTTGATGTTCTAATATTCTTTCTTTTAACTTTCTACATGTTCTCCCCACGTATTGTTTCCCACATGGGCATTGTAGCATGTATACCACATTCCTCGTATTGCAATTTATATTGGATTTTATTTTAAATCTTTCTTTTGTAGTGAAGCTCATGAATTCTTTCTTTTGTATACATTTTTGATTTTTGCATGCTTTGCAAGAGTTACAGGGGTTAAAACCACTGATATTAGAGGTCGTACCTTTGCGTGGAATTTTTTTTTTTGTAATTCTTTATTTTCATTTGACAGAGTTGATAAGCACATGAGTATCGTACAAGGATAGTACATGCATGGGCTTATGCAAAAGCCACAATTCAAACATTCCGTCAGTACATCATGATACAAAAGGGTTTGTAGAGAACGAGATGTTGTTTGGTGGTGCGTTTATAGACTTTTGGTATGCAGTTCTGTTCTGTCAAGTTTTTATACATTTAAACATTTAAACAATTAAACAGTTAAATAAAGGTAAACAAGTTTGGATGCAACTGTAAGTAGCAATGGTACCACAAAAGGCTCAGAAATTGAAGATTAAGAAGGTAAAGAAAAATGGGAAAATGTAGTTATATTAAATTATAAGTAACGTTAGGGATGAAGTGTGGTGGAGAGGCTCCATCGGTTGGAGTCTTCCATGGGGTTGCGGAGGGGGGGTGAGGGGTTGTATAGGCGTTCCTGACCTTTGTGGGGTTTGGCCTCTTGGTGTTGTGTGTATTTCCACTCTTCTTTTGTGGTTGTGGTTATGTTGTGTGGTTATGTGTCATTTGTCTTGGTTGGTTGCCTGTCTAATAACTCTACTGTCGATTCTATCCTTCCATTGTGGTGTGTCGTAGGGGTTGGGTTCAGGTTAGGGTTTTGTGGGGGGAGGGTGGCTTTAGGTTGGTTTGTGAGACGTGGTGTTCGGCCTTGATTCCTTTGGGGGCCTAGTTTCTTAAATGGCTGTGGTGGGTTCCATGAGCCATAGGTCCCATATTTTGTTGCAATGTGTGGTAGTATCGTGAATGAGTGCTGATAAGCTATGCATCGACCTAGCTTCATTCATTTTTTTCTTGATGTCGGTGATTGATGAGACTGTGGGTGAACCCCAGTGGGTGGCTATAGCTCTTCTAGTGGCCAAGGGTAGTTTGGCTAGTAGTTTGTTATGAGTTCGTGGAGTGTTTTCTAGCGGTTTGGATAGTAGCCATAGCCATGGATCCCTTGGGATGGGGTTGTGGAAAACTCTGGAGGCCAGGGTCACTATGTCTGTCCAAATTTGTGTTATATGTGGGCATTCCCACCATAGGTGGTAGTATGTCCCTTTTTGTCCGCACCCTTTCCAGCATCTGTCTGAAGTGGAAAGTCCCATTTGCTTGAGTTTTAGCGGGGTGAGGTACCAGCGCATGAGGGTTTTGTATGCCTGTTCTTTGTGGGTTACGCATATCGTCACTGTTGCTGTGGCTTCCCATATTGCTGTCCAGTCTGTGGGGTCGGTTGGAGGTCCTAAGTCTCTTTCCCATGCTGAGACGTACCCTAACGATTGGGTTTTTGTTGTCCTGAGTAGTTGTGTGTATGTTGCAGAAATCTGGCTTTTTTGTATGGGGGCATGGATACACGATTTTTCAAAGGTGGTGAGGGGGGTGAGTCCGGCTTGTTTATATGTGGGAGTTTCCAGTAGGTTTCTGATTTGTAGGTATCGGAAGAAGTCATGTGTGGTAAGTGGT